TTAAAAAAATACAAGTTAAACATTTTAAATATGAACCAAAATCAAATATAAATTATCCAGAGTATATTTGGAGAGTTTATTTATAAAAAATAAAAAAAATTAATATTAATCTTTTAGATAAAATATATGTTGTCCAAATTAGTTGTTAATAAGCTTATTAAAAATATTATATTTTTATAAATTTTATTTTGAATAAATTGTCATTGTATGTTTGCAGGTGAGGAACTTTTTTATAAACCTATTTCTTGCTAGCCACTAGATAAAAATCTATGGTCAAGATTTTTCACCTCTCGTGCTTTGCACGTGATCCATATCCCATCAAATGCGTTATATCATCAATGACTAAAAGGTTCCCCATAACAAGAACCGGAGAGACTGGAGAGTATATAGTAAAATATAATTAATTTACATATGTAATTAATATTTATAATTTTTTATTATTATAAAATATATATTTCTAATTACAATTTTTAAATCACAAGACTTAAAATTAATTAATTAATTAATTAAAGCTAAAAATAAAAAATTCAAATCTTGCAAGTGTGGTATAAAAGCTTTATAAGTTATGAATATACGATAATTTACTTACTTCGAGTTCAGGCAAACTCTATGTAAAACAACACACACACACACACACACACACACAAACAACGCGAGCATTTAAAATTGATTCAACGCAAAATATGTTTGGTTATTATATTGCATTCGAGTTTGTCAAAGTGCTTTTTTTTTTATCATACAAAAGTCGAAGTATTTTTCGTGAAAAACAATAGTATTTAAGGATCACTTTAAAAAAAAATCCTTTTTTTAAAATGCTACTCCTTTAATTCTATTTACAAGTTTCTTTTAATATGTTTAATTAAAATAAAAAATATTAAACTTTATTAAAGATTAAATAAGTTTTTAACTTTATTCTTATTAAACATATATATACTTTAATAACATATTTTTTTTATTAATATTTAATGAAAAGTGAAAGAAAAAATTGTAATAAAAAATAAATAATATTCTATCTGTCTCAAATTATAAGACACTTTTAAAAAAATTTAACGTCTCGAAATATAAGATACTTTAATAAAAATAAAGTTTTATTAATAATATTTTTTTAATATTATCCTTTTCATATGTTCTCTCTCTTCAATAATTTTTTATCAATTGAATATTAAATAAAGGGTATTTTTAAAAGTTCATATTTTTGTCTTAAAAAAATTATAAAGTATATTTAATAAATTTTATTAATATGTAAAATTTTATTTAAAATATCTTATAATTTAAATGGAGGGAGTATAATTTATAAATATGATTAATTTTTTTCTATTTATCTCATAAATAGAATTGAAAATAACATATTCAAATCGAGACTAATAACAGATTGGGACTAGAAGGGTGGGGTTTCACCTACTTAATAATGGAGAGGAAATTGAATAATGATTTTTCCTGGGGTTTGAGCCTCTGATTAATTGAAATAGCCGCCAAACCCGTACATATTGATATAATTAAGACGGCAGATTTTGCTTGGCTTGGTGTGATTTACAGTGGATTAGATTACTTGAAAGATTCCTTAATCCACCTCCACCATGTCTCACCATTTATTTATTATTTATTACCACCAACTTGCCAAGCTTCATCATATTTTATTCCCATAAATACACCTACCCACCTACATACACATGCCGTGCATTGGTTTACCAAATATATAAAAATATTCATGTCTCTCTTTGTTCTTACATTATTATGTGAGGGCGACCAGAGGGACAAAACACCCTGAGGATAATGTAATGTGTTTATTTAACATAATTTAACGGCCAATAAAATTTTGAGTTATAGTATTGATTATTAAAATTAGAGACGCACACATGCGAGTGTTTGGCACGCTATCGCATCATGTTGACTCGTGTTTTAATTGTCTGTCATGATGCGTGATATGACATCATGGTGTAAGATATTATATGGTGACACATACTCAGTATATTTAAAAATATAAAAAAATATTTTTAATTAAATTTTATTTTTTATTAAAATAATTATATATTTTTTATATTTATCCTTCTTAAATACGTTATAATAAATATAAAATTATTATCAATGAAAACACTTAAAAAAAGTAATGATTATATTTAAAAAATTAAAAATATTTTACATTTTTAAACATTTAAATTTTTAAAAAATACTTTACATTTTTAAACGGAGGGAGTATTTTATGGTATGTAAGTATGTTTATTTTTTTATTTTTAAAAATAAAAATTTAAAAATTTGTTTGGATAAGTTTTTTATTTTAATTATTTTTAAAATTATTTTCAATTTTTTTAAAAATAAAAAAAAGAAACAACTTTAAGTTTTTTTATTTTTTTTTCTTGTTTTAAAAATAAAATATATTTAATTATTAAAAATTGTAGTTACTTTGACTAAATTTTATTATTAATAACCATCAATAACTATCTATAATCTATCATTATTAATTTATTTTTAAATTTTTAAATTACATAAATAAATGAATTTTTATTTTATTTTTGTTTTAAAAATAATTTTAAAAAATATATTATAAAATAGTTTTTTAAAATAAAAATGAGAACTAAACCAAACAAACCCTTAGTTTGATGTGATAATTGACAACATCTCACATATTTTAATGACGCTGCAAACGTTGTTTAGCGTTATTTAGTTATTTTTCAAATATGCTCACTTTAAGTTTAAAAAATATCACAAAATAAATACTATAGTTTTTTATTATTTCTAAATGAGAATACAATTAAAAATTTGATAATTTATTTTACCAAAAAAATTGATAATTCATGTCTCTCTCGCTTGTTTTCTCTGTTGTCAATACTCTCATCTGTCTTAATTTATAAAATATTTATTAGCAAAATTATATTCCATGACAACATTATAAAAAATTTTTAAAAAAATTAGACATCACAAAATATAACACATGTTGATAAACATAAAATTTCATTATGTTTTTTCAGTATTACTTTTTTTTTATATATTTTCTCCATCTAATATTTTTTTTTATGAATGGGCTCAATGGCACATGTGAGGGGCAAATGCACCCTTGCATGTAAAATTTACAATTCAACCATTTTCATACGATATGTTGTTATTAATATATTGATATTTTATATCTATATTAACATTTATTTTTTGAAGTAAAATTTAATTTTATCATAGCACCTTTAACTTTCTTTAAGGGATTTTTGACAGGCAAGACTTGTTTACTTAGATTTGACAGTTATGCTTTGTTTATTTGCTTTTGCTCTTGTTATTTTCTGGTTTAAGTTTTTATGTGCTAGTATTGTTGCTTAGGTTTCGAGTGTTTTATTTTTTATTCTTGGCTCTGACTATTGGTGCGTGTGATGTAATATTTTTTCTATAATTAATAAAGTTGACTTATATTTTAGTTAAAAAAATTAAATTAAGATAATTTAATTTTAGTATATTTTAATTTATTATAGAATAAATAATCTATAAAATAACTACCTGTCTTGTTTTAATTAAAACAAATACATTAAATATATAAGTTTTTATTCTAAAAAAAATTGACTGTCTCAATTTTAATTGAATTTTTCGGGCCAAATACTAAACTTTTAAAAAATTGACCTGATACTAAATTAGACCAAAATCATGAAAAAAAATCTAATCAAACTTCAATATTGGCAATTGAAAACGATGGCATGTCTTCGTTGATGCCAAGACGGCATGTCACCATCAACAACACTTTAAAATAGAAATTATAACTTTTTTTATAAGAATTGAGAAAGATGGAAGTAAAAATGGGGACAGGGGTTACTATCTTTATTTTCTCTCTTCTTTTCTATTCCTGCCGTTAATTTAATTTTATTTAATAAATTTATTTTAATTATAAATTTAATGAATGGTGAGAATTAACAAAGGAGTGAAAAGAAGAGAAAATAAAGGGACGAATCTCTCTCATGAGAAAATGATAATAAATTTTTACAAAAATATATTAATAAAAATCAGGTTTTTAAAAATGTTGTAATTCTTTTAAGTTTCTAAGTACTTTTTTTGACATTAATAATCTTATATTAAATAACTAAATTGCACCTTGTTTAAAATAAAAGAAATAGCAAGCTTTGATAAAAACTTTTGATTTACTGTTTAATTCTTGTAATTTTAAAAAATAAAAGTTGTGATTGCTTCAATAAAAATTGTAACTAGTTATTTTTTAAATTAAAATTTTAATAATAAAAAAAAATTTATGTGAAAAGTTATAATTTTTTATTTAATTTGTTAATTTATATGATTAAAATTGATATTGATTTATTTTCAGAATTTAAACTTTAATAATATAAAGAATTTATGTAAAAAATTATATTTTTTAATCAATTTTTATAATTTACATAATTAAAATTTTCATAAATAAAAATTATAATTAAAACTGATTATTTTCAAAATTTATTTATCAATATAAAAAATTTTATGTAAAAAGTTATTATGTTTTATTTAATTTTTGTAATTTAATGAATAAAAATTATAATTATTTTGATAAAAGTTAGCCAAACTCATTATTTTTATTCTAAATAAGGACCATTTTAATTATTTAATATAAAATTGTTAGTGTTAGAAAGTAACCAAAAACTTTAAAAATTTTAAAAAATTTAATTACTATTTATATACTCTCTCTATTTAAAAATATAAAATACTTTTTAAAAAATTATATGTCTAAAAATGTAAAAATATTTTTAAATCTTTTAAAATATAATTATCACTTTTTTTAAAAAATATTCATATTGATAAATAATTTTATATTATTGTATGGTGTTTAATATAAATAAATATAAAAAAATAATTAAAAAATAAATAATTATTTTATTAAGAGTGAATTCAATTACAAATATTTTATATTTTAAATGGAGGGTTACAGTATCACTTTATTATTATTTTTTTTAAAAATAAAAATATATATATTCACTGTTGCAATGCAAGCAAATAAAATAAAAATAAAAAACTAATGAAAATAGACTGCCTGTGAATGCAGGGGCTGAAAGCAACCACCGATGTCGTTTCGTCCGTCACCATTCACCAAATCTGTTAGATAGTAGCTCCGTTCACGAATCAGTGGCTTCTTCTGTCGAAGCTCTGCGAGACCAAGAAACGAAAATGAAGCACAGAACATGGCCTTCTTGCTCTGGGGCCTCTCGGTTTTCATCTCTTCCATTCCCTATGATAAGCAATTCTGATGTTTCCACGAAAAATTCTACCTCGAAAACCCCTTCCAAACCATCGGCTTACCCAGGCCGCTCGATTCGACTCTGCTCAAGGGCATCGTTGGAGTCCACACCTTCAGAATCTTCATCACATGATGCCGATTTCTCTGCCCTTCCGTACGACGTTCTTGCGAAAATCGCAGCTTCCTTTACCCTCCCGAACCTTCAAGCGGCTTCTTTAGTTTGTCGGTCGTGGTCGGAGGCGCTTAAGCCGTTGAGGGAGGCGATGCTTCTTTTGAGTTGGGGAAAGCGATTCAAGCATGGAAAGCTACGTGTTCGTCCGAATATAGACAAGGCGCTTGATTCTTTCCTAAAAGCTGCGGCTCGTGGCTCCGCTCTGGCTATGGTTGATGCGGGTCTGATTTACTGGGAGATGGGCGAGAAAGAGAAGGCGGTTGTTTTGTATCAGAGCGCTGCCGAACTCGGAGACCCAGCTGGGCAGTGCAATTTGGGGATTTCTTATTTGCAGGGTATTTATTTCCAGAATTTAAATTTATAGTTATCATTTTTATTTTAATTTAATCTAAAATATCAGTCGAAGCTTCAATCTTTGGTCTTAAAATCCACCCAAAACAAAAAACAAAAAATAAACAAAAACAAAATTCTGAGAACACTTTTGCGTAATTCTTTTTCCAAACCTACATATTGCATATTTATAAATTCTGATAATATGGACTTGTGTATTTAGAGTGTGCATAGAAGCAATGAAATTGGAAGGTGGAAAATGCAATGCATTGACCTATGTTGTGCGGCCTTCGTCTTACAATAGCTCGTTTTCACTTCTACTGAGTGCTCCATTTACATATACTAATAGCGATTCTGATTGCGTATTATGTAATATATGATATCCATGCTCTTGAAATCTTCATGTACAAATGTTGTCTTAAGATGTTTTGGTTGCACCGAGGATAAAACCAAAATCAATAAACATAAAAAAACGTTAAACAGACAGTGGAAGATAACGTACGTAGTTCTGGTTGCAACAGAAGCTTATGGCGGTGAAACAATTTAGGCCTTCAGGCTGAGTGCAATATTATGGCACCTATGGGCACTGAAGGGGAAATTTCACTTGTCAGATGTCATGCGAGACTGCAAGTTTCGAGGACTGGGTCTTTTATAAATAACTGAGGTTTTGGTATTATCTGTATTTCTGCTTTGCCTTATTAGGTGTTCAAAGCATTCCTTTCCAAGATAAAACTTCACTTGGTTCAAGATAGTCATGCAAGTAAGCTTGTTTCTTTTGGTCTAACTTGAATTTGGGTAGCCTTCTTTTTTAGGTTATGAACTTGGGCAGTTTTTGAGGGTGCATGATGTTTAATGGTTTTTTTGCTTCATAATTCAGTCATGTGGTGCATATCAATGACACTTATCTGTTCTCAACTTTCACTCAGATTTGTTGCAATTGATCGTTGCTATAATAATTACCCAACATGTATATGAACTCTGCATCCCAAAAAATGAATTCTTGCATTCCTTCAAGAAAGCTTTTTCCTTGCTTGACAGTGACGAGAAAATGAAACCTAATTTAAGTAGGTTCTTTTTCTTATTTGCATTTGCATTGCTTCAAAAAAAGAGTGTTTGAGATATATTTTACCCTAAAAAAAAAAATTGTCTATATGTATATATATCATGCATTGATGGCAAAAATTTTATGAGAACAAAAATTGCCTAATGAAGGTATGCATTTGCTCTGCAGCTGAACCTCCAAATAGTAAGGAAGCATTAAGATGGTTATACAAAGCTTCAATTGGTGGGAATGCCCGTGCCCAATACCAACTAGCACTTTGCCTTCATCGAGGTCACAAGGTCAATTGCAACATAAAAGAAGCTGTAAGTGTTAATTTGTTTGACATCATTATAAAGCATGCCTTAATATTTGCACTTTATACTTGTATTGCTTCTTTATATTGTTTATTAAGCTATGAGTTGATGGCAGTATTAAACCTTTGTGAAGCTTTCTAATGAAAAAAGCTTATGATATTGTGCATTATGCTCCTTTACTAGCATGATGTATTCTGTTCTTTGCTGCTAACAAGTTTTCTGCGGAACAGGCTAAATGGTATTTGAAAGCTGCAGAAGGAGGGTATGTGCGTGCAATGTACAATATCTCCTTATGCTACTCCTCTGGGGAAGGTCTGACACATAATCGTCAGCTTGCAAGAAAATGGATGAAGCGTGCTGCAGATCATGGTCACAGTAAAGCACAATTCGAGCATGGACTTTCTCTCTTTTCTGTAAGAAATTGATCTATGCCTTCTTATTTTGAATGCATGTTTTAAATATATATATATATATATATATATGCGCATGCGCGCGCGCGCACAACTCCTGTGTGAATGTTCGTTACCTATATTAAACTATACTTCATGATTTTGGCTTTTGAACTTATGATCTCACAATCCTCCTTTAGTTTTAAAGCATGTTAGTAGTTAAACCATGATTTTTCGCCCTGGGTGTAATATATGACTCTCTTCACATCAATCATAGTTCAACTCAGACTTACATGACTATAGATATTTAGTATTGGACAATTAGATTTACATGATCTCTGTATATTCATCTTCTGTTTTAGATTCTATTACAAACAGGCCTTTATCCATTGATGCTTGCAGTGGGGGTTCCAATTTACCGATCAGTTGCCTTAATTTAGGGTTGTTTTATTTGTTTTTGCATGACATCTGTGCGTAAGATTAGAATAGTTGTCAGCAATGGCTGTGTTCTCAGGGCATATGGTAATAACGGTGATTGGAGGGAGACGAGATTTTGGGTTTTGTCTTATGTTTATACATTTTTTTCCCTCCAGATAATACATGTTTCTAATATTGTATATTTGTATCTGAACAGGAGGGCGACTTGATGAAAGCTGTGGTATACTTAGAACTTGCCACACGTGCTGGTGAAAGAGCTGCCGCTCGTGTCAAGAATGTAGTTCTGCAGCGGCTTTCAGCACCTTCACGGGATCATGCCATGTTTCTTGCTGACAGGTGGCATGCTTTGCCTTCATGTTGATTTGTCATGTCTTGCATGCGTGGCAAAGAAGAGTCCCATAATCCCATTGCCTTGGCTGCTGATGTTTCAACTTTCAGCAACTTGACAACAAAATCGACAAAGCAAGCCAGAGAATGGCAAAAAAAAAAAAGGGAACTGACAAGTCCCATTGCTAGAAATTTTGAAAATAGTGATCTTCCTTTGTAAAATAACCTAGTTTGTGCTTGTAACTCTTAGACTTCTAGAAAGCATGCAATAGATATTAACATTATACAAGGCCGGTTTTGGGGTCCCTAGAAGTCCAGAATGGCGCCAAATTTGGTAGTCATGTTCCTTTTGGAGTATTGCACCCGTATATGGAATTTTGAAGAAAATGACTTTCTGAGAAGGTCAAGCTTTCGTGTCTGGGATGGCATTTCTAACCAATATTGTAGTGATAAAAACAAAGGGCAAGGATGCTGGTATGTGTAAACTTTTGGATCATCTGATTTTAATATATGCTGATTCTCCTAGACTTTTCCCCACAACACCTTCCTCTCACTGCTCTCCCTTTTAAAAAAAGGTGTGGTAAATAAAACGATGCCAATTTAATTTACTGTGTCCGTAAATTATTTTATTAAAAAAATATGATTGTTATATGATTGTTTTCATTTTGAATTTTAAATTTTGTATCTACTAGAATAAGGGTTTAAAATGTAATATAAATTAAATTAAACCTTCATTACTGCACTAAATAAATCAATATGGAACTCGTTGGCATTTTGTTCTATGAATCTTGAATTACTTTGTAACGTATAAGAATGTTTCTTCATTCTAATCGCCTTTTGAAAATGGTGTTCAAATAGTTGCAATACATTAAAGCCCACCGTTTTTTGCCGAGAAATTGAAGCCTCGAGGAGCCATAGATCACGAGTTCTGTCTTGCTCGCCTGACCACAGGTGTGTGAATTTGACAGAATGTGAAAGCCAACCTCGTACCCAGGGCCAGGACATCACGCGGAAGCAGAAGAATTTCTACAATCTCGTCTCTCTCAGATCATCCGAATGTATTCACTTTCCAGATAATGTGATCGCTTCACTAACAAAAGGAAGTAAACAAGCGTCCCCACGTTGGTAATCAAAATGGATCATCACATTCTAATTCAATTATTACTCCTTAGATTTTTTTTTTTCCGGATTTTAAATTAAATGTATAAATTTATTAAGCATCTTCTAACCCAGCCGAGGATCATAACATAGTCGACTCCTCTTAGTAAAGCGAACAGGCTCGTTCAGTTGGTAGCTTTTTAGATAATCACAGTCAACACGAAACCAGAAACCAGAATTTTTGTACAAAGACCCGCTATTTATTATGCACATAGGTTAGCAGCTAGACTAGCTTATGATCTTGAAGATGAATTTTGTATCTTTGTCAATCACCCACCTTACCATTTGGAGGTGGTAAATAACGAAAGATATTGTATCATGTCTTGTTTTCTGCCTGTCTGCTTTAGTTTGTGAATGCAAGTTGTTCAGTTTTCCACTAAAAAAAAAAAAGAAAGAAACCAACCAGAATGAACTACCGATCACGTGAATACAAGTTAAAGAGTATCCACAAAGACAAATCATGCCCTCGGCTCAATATTGCGTCTTGATACTCAGTCCATTCTTTTTGGAACAAAGTTTCAACAATTCCCAGGATCACAGGCTTGGCTTGATGCTTTCAGAACTTGAGGGCAACCAGATATTGAGAATTTCTCAAATCCGTAAAAAGCTACATGACTTGTTTGAGAACATGGGGAGGATATATTCCAACATTAAATTAAAGATTTTCAGAACCATCATAAACCCACGGGATTTCCATGTCTAATCTGCCAGCTAAATATTACTTCTAGCCTTACCTATGTTGAGTTTCTTCTGCATAAAAGCATGCCACCACATATGAAGCATATCTGGATTGACACTTTCAATGGTCTTATAAGTTATTGCAAAAAGGACGTTCCTATCTGAGCAAAGCATATTTGAGTTCGCAGAATATTAGCGTCGACGATTGATCAAGGCGCGAGTCCTGGGCAAAGAGGTATCAGTTGAACATTCAATGGATGAATCAAAATCTCAGAGAATCCTACTCCACTACAAGACAATACAGCATCAAAAGGGATGATAAATAATCAATTTAATTAACAAAATAGGTATACAAAGAAATCCAAATGGTTACAAGAGTTGATTATCCAAAATAAATTAACCTCTGACCTTCATCACATTCCCCAACTTCATGGGAAAAAAGATATGACAGCCTAAGCAGAAAAACTAATGTATATTCTTACGGAAGTACCGTTTGTTCCTCTAGACCCCCTTTGTCCACAAAGGGTAAGCCGGATGTAACCTAATAAGCCAAAGACTGATACAGAATAAATTTATATATACACAGAACATGATACAACGAAATAAGTAGTGTTCAAGAGCAATTTGAACTGTCATCTCACATATGTTTCGAGCGTCTAATGCATGGAAGCATCCATACCTGACAGAATATGACTTCTTTTCCAGTATCAGTGATTCATAGTATGCAACTAACTCATTGGTATACTGATGAACCTATGAAAACAGAGCCGGCCAACTAACTGAACAAGTAATCAAGGATAATATGACATCCTTTGAGAATGGGTTCCAGCATGGTACAGATTGAGGTGAACTAATGCCTTTGATACTAATTCTTTTATCGCTGGATGCTGAGAAATAACTGTTCGATCAACACCCTCTAAAGTTGTCAATACCCTTTCTTGTTCCAAGGATTCACTGTTGCCAGCATGCAGTGCAAGGTAGCAGAGAAGAATTAGTCCATGCAATTGAGTGTCTTCATTACGCCGCAGGAATCTCATAAGAGAAGGGACGCCATTGAACTCAATTATTGCCTTGGAGTGCTCCACACATAGGAAATTCTCTGGAGAAGCAAACTTGCAAAGTGCAATGACTGCTTCAGTTGCTACATCAGACACTTTATGACTTATTTGCGTTACTAGAGGGCCAATCACCCGAGTCTCTCTTGCAGGAAATGTCCTAGCTAATGAACCAATTGACTTTATGGCTGGAATTTGCAGCAGTGGGCTGTCAATCTCCTTAATCACCCTTAAGAGCTGTTCCACCACAGCTTTAGCAGCGGGTGAATTAGTCTTAAATGCTGCCCGGCGAAGATCAGCGTTGGATTCAGCCGCAGCAGTAATCTCCATTATTGTCATCAAGCAATTGTACTGAAGCTCTCCTTGCTCCTTCTCAACCAACCTAGCCAAACAAAGCATCCCTTTTGTCTCAGTTATTTTCCTGCTATTTGACACACTTCCTTTGGCCAGCATCCATAAAGCCTCGGCACAGCTAATCTTCAACTTAAGCTTCACCTCAGGCTCCTCATTCTCCCTCTCCTTCCTGTGATTCCCCACCCGGCTACTTCCTTCCATATGTGAATATGAATTCGAATATGAACTCGTAAACTGGCGATTACTTGAGGTAACCAATAGCTTTTTCTCTAATTCCCTGTTAATTTGCATAATAGTATGCATACTCTGCTTACCCAATTGACCGGCATGGTCATCATCAAAAGTATCGAAAGACAACAGTGTCACAAGCGGCCTAATAGCATTCTCCCTGGCAAAATCCTCCTGGGCAAGAGGGTCATGTTCTGCCATTCTAGCCACCAAATTCGCTGCTCGAATCTGAACCCTCATCGGTGAATCTCCCAGAACCTGCACGACAATTGGAACTCCTAGCCCGTTCACAATCGTCCTAACTCCGTCGACATCGTTTGCCAAGATACATAACGCACTAGCAGCTGCAATTTGAGCACTTGGAAGTGCACTTTCCTTAAAAAGCTTCAACAATGGAGGAATCCCACCTTCTTCAACAATAATTTTCTTGTTCCTATCATTGTCTTGTGCAACAGCAGCTAGTTCATTCGCAGCTTCAATTCGATCATTCAACTGACCCATTTGAATAGAAGCGATGAAAGACCAAACCCACGAGAGAATCGGGTCGTTGCTGGCAATTGGAGGAAGAGACAGCTCAATCCCGCCGCCACCGGTGCCGTCGGTGTCGAAGATACTGAGAAGCCATTTCATGTCGCCCACAGAAGCTTCTAGATAGTTCAGAACTTTGCGGAAATCGGCGGTGCTAACAATATTAACAACCCTTCGTAGAAAGCTCTGTCGCTTGCATTTTCGGACTAGGGTAACGGCGCGTTCGAGGTTTTTCGAACACTCAGCAGCCACGCGCCGAATTGGTACCTCGTAGAGTGAAGGGGTAGTGCTGGCGAAGCGAACCAGGGTTCGAAGCATTTGAAGAAGGCGATCCACTTGCTTCCACACTTCGGAACACTCAAATTTGAAGGATTCAGCCTCGTCGACGGACTTGCGGATTCGCTCCGCCAGTAGAATCGGGTAGGAGAGCTCGTCTTCAATTCGCTGGTTCTCCGATGCCATATCCGCCGCGGAGTCAATGAGTCAGCCGCCGAGTCAACTCAATCGTTTACTGGTCGTGATCTTGGAAGAGGGAGAGAAAGGGCAAGGAAGGTGCGAAATTTCTGTAATCTCTATGGAGGTTGTTGTGTATATCAAACTATCAGGGCGGTTTTTCATGAGAGTCTGGAAACGGGGTGGTGTTATTTCTGGTTCAAGTCGAAAACACTAATCCTTTGTTCCTCTGGTTCGCATGTTTTTTTGTCGCGAGCAGACATAACAACATCGACATGTGTGCTTGGGATTTGGGAATGTAGTTTGAGTGAAGAAGAAGCCGGAGCGCGTGGGAGTGGTAACGGCGGAAGAAGCGTCAGTTTGACTGCTACGTAACTTACTTGGCATTGTATTACTATTTGCTAGGAAGGAGCGTGCTCTCAAGCCTCAGGGCCTCTTGTTGGCCAACACCAACAAAGAAGACTCAACACAATAACTCTTCTAAAAGCTTCCATTTTTCTCTTATTTCACTGAATTAAGCTAATCATTAAAGTAAAATGTTATTAACATTCATCTATTTATTTATAAGGTAATTCTTTGAAATTCTGAGATTTTGCCAATTTTTTAATTTTTTTAATTATTGAGTTGACTTGTATGCATTTCTTTCTATCTACTATTTTTTTTTTGAAAAAAAATTGCCACCTACATAAATTATGAGTTGTTTACTTGTATAGAAATAAAATAACATTTATTATTGTTTTTCTATGTTATGCTCATGAAAGTTATTAGAGACTTAAATCTCAACTTTTATATATGTGTGTGCAGCAAATAATTTGGTTTGGATAGAGTATTGGCAACTTAGTTAGGAGGGTATGCCCTTTGCCCTTAATATCTTGAGAGAGATTGCCTTCTATTTTTGGCTTTGCATACTTGGTTTTGGTTCAAAAAAGAGATCGATACATTTATGAATTATTTTATTTTAAAATTATTCATGAAGCATATTCAAGTTGCCATTATCTAATTGTTTTTAAAAGATTGACTAGGAAAATATTCAAATTCCTATTTGTTTACAAAACTAACTTTAATGTGTATCCAAAGAATATCATAACTGAAGTGTCATTAGAAAACAGCAGGTCTTGGTATAAAATAGTAATAAACATAACTGAAATGTCACTAAACACATTTTTTATGCATTGCAATTTAAAATAAGCCTCACTATTTGTTTATAAACAAATTAATTTTCTTTAATTTTATATATCCTAATCCAATTTTTTGATTTATAATTTTATGCTTTTGAAGAAATATACTCCTTACACAAAGTTAAACTTGCAAGAAATAATAAATAACAAAAAGTTGTTATGTTGTGCGCGCGCGCATACATGTACATATGTACGTACGGATGAATGTGAGGAAAAAAAAAAAAAAGGAGCCCAGATAATAACTTTGAAATGTTGTTGACCAAGAAAAATTTACAATGAATGTACATAGATTTAACGTAATATTTATTAAAGCAAAAAAAATTAAAATAATTAAAAAAATATCATCAAATATGGACAATTTAATTTAATTTACTGGTAAGTACCCAAACTTAACGTAAGAGAGACAATGGTTGTTTGTTAGGTCAATTTTAAAAAGTTAGGTTCAAATTTAACAATCTCCTTTTCTTTTAAAAAACATGGGGTATATATGGAAATATAATAAATACAAGCATCACAGTAAATATTCAGTTTAAAAATATAAAACATTTTCAAACAAACCACACAAACAAAGTACTCCTCTCGATTCAAAGTATATTATATTTTAGAATGTTGAATTTTTCTTAAAAGTGTCTTTTAATTTAGGACGGAAGGAGTAGATAGTTATCTTCTAACTAACATCATCTTTGCATATTTATTTTTATTTAATAGGATATTTTACTTTAAAATAAATAAAAAGTAACTTATTTATTAGTGCCACTTTAGATGTAAATTAATTATATCTTAAAATACTAAAAAAATGTTAGCATTCAAACTTTCAAAAAATGCTTTATATTGTTAAATGGAAAGGGAGGATATAACTAGCTTTTCATTGAGCTTTTATCCCATGGCATTTATGTCAGTGTCACTTTTCTTTGTTGCGAGTTTGAAATATCAACATTTGTATGATGAAGTATAATGTCCTCTTTAATATTACCAAATACATAAGACATAAGACACAAGCCATTGTTATGATAATTAAAATTAATTAAATTTTTTAAATATAGTTATCATAATACAAGAGTTTATAAAATAATTTAAGAAAATGAGATTCCAAAAAACTTTTTAAAAAGTCGTTTGAGCTCAAAATATGATTAAAAATAAATTACACAAGATAGTAGAAGCAAAGAAGTCAATTATAACCCTTAAAAACAATAGTGGAGCATTTTGACAAATTTCATAAATTGTACCATCCGTCACGACGGAGGCACAAAGGGACCCCTCTTTATGTCGTAGCTGCGAGCCCGCGACGCACTCCTGTGTTATAACAACAAACATTTATCATGATAGCACTCTAAGATCAATTTTTAGAGTGTGTCATTTCGTCATCCGACGTTCAATTTGAGTTATTCAAATGTTTATATATAGCTCTTTAAATCACATAACTATTGGCACCAGTCTTATATTCAAACACTTAATCATTTGAAAGTTAGATACCTGAACTCAAATTAGTTTGCTTACCTTTCAAAACAACAACAAAGGTGTCCAAATCCATGAAATTAGTGTCAATAATCTTAGAACCATTTAAATCAACTCAAATGCACCACAAATAACTTGATAGAACAATAATACAACAACCAAAACAATCCAAATACAAATTGGCCTCCAAAACCTCAATTTTACAATGAGTTCAAAGGGTGACAATCATTCACATTAAACTTCATTTTGGCCAATCCAACATAGAAATAATGCAAAAATATCACTTGCACCAATATCTCGATCTCTCACAACCAATTTAACACGGATACAACATTTGAGCTAAGATACACACATTTGCACAAATTCTCATGCAAGTGGCTACAAAATGTCATATGATTTTAAGTTGGCACAATCATTATAAACCTAAAAGATAGAGTGAGAGGACTATACAAATTCAAGTCCTACAATTTTCTATAGCGCCTTCCTTCCCTTTGCTCCTATTGAAGCCTTTACCTGTAAAATATAATCATGAGGTGAGTTGAATCAGTAACCAAATAATTTAAACAAACTACTCATATGTAAAAATAGTCAATAAGTACGTGAAGTATCATTTAAAACATATATAACAAGTTACATACACACACATATAAAGGGCTAAGCAAAAAAAAGTATGCATGATCAATACATCACTTTATATCCTCATTATTTCTTCTAACTGAATCTGTGGCCTGACAATTCAATATAATTGAATCTATGTGATTGGATCGGCTCAAGCTCACTAGTCATGAGAGGTAGTCCGACTAAAGATGCTTTCACCCACTATGAATCATAGATTCTCCCTTTCCACGAAAACTTGGAGTCTCGTATACCTAATTTATCCTAAATAGTGCTAGGACTTCCAAATAAATATAGAACTGTGTATCGGGGCTTTCACGGTACTAGTGTACCATATGAATTTATAAATAATGTCCTCAAACAACACTAAGGTGAACTCTCACCTTCTTACAATGATCATGCCAAATATATGTTCAACCATTTCACATATAGCCATAAACTTGTAATTTACACTTAAATAATCATTTTCACTACGAATCATACAACTTTCGCAAGTACATATATATGAACATAGGATTTAGCATAAAACTTTCAAAAACCATAATAGTGCAAAACATAATTATCCCTTCCACTTTACATAAAATTTTTAAATCACGAACATTTTTCATATTGATAATGTTCTATCCAAAACAATAATATAAGCTTTCGCAGTAGCCGCACAACTATTCAAAATGCAAATAGAGAGTTTAGATAATTTAATTACCTCAATTTTTTTGTCACGAAAAGGTTACTGTGGTCAAAATTGAGCTTTACAAGTATCCACTAACATATCTACCCTCGACTAATATTTAATATACAAGATTAAAGATTTAATCATAAATTTTGACTCCAATTAACTCTTTTTTAGCATAATTTTAGGTACCTACTACATTCAAAAATTTACTTTAACATAATCAACTCTCTCAATACACTCTATTAATCCCATTTAACATCCAAACACTTAAATAATACTACTTTTTTATCCACATTGCTTCCAAACTCTTAATTTTCACTTAGGATTCGTCTAAACCCTAACCAAAAACTCTAAATCACTACACAATCCATAAAACTAGGGTTATAAGCTTGATCTAACTTCGCAAAACCTTAACTAAGGCAATGAGTTCAGTTACAACCCAAAGGAAACAAAATTAAACCTCAAACACCCCCAAAAACTTATGAAAATTCAAATATGGGAGGAAGGAAGAAGATAAAAAGTTTACCCAACAATAATCAAACTTTAAAAGATTTCAAAATGATGTTGGAGGATAGCTCTAACAATCCCAAGTTCGTTTATTGTTGCCCTTTCACATTTTTCTCTTACCTTTTTCTATTTTTTTGTCCAAATTGTGAATTTGATGTATGCAGATTTGTCCATTCGCCGTAGTGCATGGCACAAATTAACCCTAATTTGGGCCCCTTTTGTGCCTCGATTCACTCAAATTCTAACTTATCTCTCTTCCAAGGCTGTCCCACAATATGTAAATCATATTAGTCATTCAAAAAACATTAATAATTCATAAATATTTTATTTTGACTCATCTACCCTCCTAAATACTTAAAATTTTCAAAGCTGGAAATTTAAAATGTTACATCAATCATAGACTAAGTCAAGCTTGGAGCATGTGGAAGGCTCTAGGCTGCCTCTTTCAATAGAGTTTGTTTATATATGTTGATTACTTTTATTTTGGTCTTCAGGTCTGTATAATTTAAAACTGTAATTCTGTGTGCTTTGTCTTTCTATTATCTTATTTTCATTTGTCTGGGGCAGAGGCCGGTTTGTGTGTAATCGCCCTACTGCCTAATATTATCGGCTTTAATTCAAATAATAATAATAATTAATTGTCCCCCCCCCCCCCCAACACACACACACACATGCAAGTCCAATGTATATTTATATATTATGTATGTATATCAAACAATATTTAGTGCTATCATGAAATATATAAGCAAATACATTTGTTCAGTATTTATTAATTTTATAATATTCATATATTTTTATGGATATTTCATAATGCACAGTCAATTACTGGCAAAAAAATATTATTATTCATATTATTTAGAACACTTCAGGATTCGAGTCTTGACGTGGATAACCCGAAGCAGCCATTGTCCCCACCTAAAAGTTAAAAGCCCTCGTTTTTAAATTTTTATAATGTCATGTCATCAAACGAC